TTGCAGCCGCCAAGGCAGCAGCTGAGGCCGTCTGTTTTCCCGGTAATGCCTTTACGTCTCGACATTATTCCAAGAATCATGACCTCAACTTGTCAGCCATCAAGATTCAGAGCGCCTTCAGGGCATATTTGGTAAGACACTTGGTATTTCAATAGATTTTCATTTCCTTCAGTTTTCTAGTTTTGATATGTAAAAGCAGGGCGAGAGAGCTTTTCAAAAATGGTTTTCTGTATATTAAAACTCATACTACAATACCCCTATTTATACACAGAAAGAATATTCTAACTTGCAAAAAATGGTTATGGTCCCAAACCTACTATGAGCTATAAAGGCTATAAGAAACAAGAAACCATGTACACGTTCCGTAGCGCCAGAGGAGCAGAGTAGTGTCTGCTAAACCGATGCCAAACCGATGCTTCGAGAAATCAATTTTTAACCGGATAAAACTCCCCCTCAAGATGGAGAATACAAATCTTGTATTCCCATCTTGGACAGGTGAAGGATTAAACAATCTGTAGAAACTGGTTTGGTAAGGATATCTGCGATTTGCTGTCGAGAATGAACAAACAGGGGCTTGATGAATCCAGAGGCAACATGATCCCTGATAAAGTGACAATCAATCTCCACATGCTTCGTGCGTTCATGATGCACAGGATTGTTGGCCAGGTGTATGGCAGATTGACTATCAGAGAAAACCGGGACAGGAGACAAAGCAGGGATATGCAGATCATAAAGCAGATTTCGGATCCAAAGTAACTCACAGGTCGTTTGAGCGAGGGCTCGATACTCTGCCTCCGCACTACTTCGAGAGACAGTAACTTGTTTCTTGGCCTTCCAAGAAACAAGAGAGTTGCCCAAGAAGATGCAATAGCCAGTAATAGATCGGCGTGTATCGGGGCAAGCTGCCCAATCTGCATCTGTATAGGCAGATAGTTGCAGGGAGGAAGAAGCAGAGTATGTCAGACCTTGAGATGGAGAAGTCTTCAGATACCGAAGAACTCTGAATGCCGCTTGTAAATGAGCAGAACGAGGCTGCGATAAAAACTGACTGAGCTTTGTAACAGCGAAGGAAATGTCTGGACGAGTAACTGAGAGATAGACCAATTTGCCGATCAATTGTCTGTAGAATGTAGAATCAGACAGAGCATCGCCAGTATCAAGTCCCAGTTTTTCCCGAGTATCCATGGGAGTAGAAACTGGCTTTGCACCGAGATAGCCATACTCTTCAAGGAGTTCCAATGTGTACTTGCGCTGGCAAAGATGCAGACCATGGGTGGATCTTGCAACCTCGATCCCTAAGAAATAACGAAGTGGACCGAGATCTTTAACCTGAAACTGACTGTTCAACAAGGATTTAGCAGAATCCAATGAAGCAGAATCATTGCCAGCCAAGATCAAATCATCAACATAAATCAGGATCACCAGGATGTTAGAATCATGGGACTTGATGAAGAGAGATGTATCAGACTTTGACTGTCGAAAACCAGCGCCCAGAAGAACTGCTGTGAGTTTTAAATGCCATTGACGAGAGGCCTGTTTGAGACCATAAAGGGAACGATGAAGTTTACAGACCATGGATGGCTGAATCGTCTCCCCCTGAAGCTCAGAATATCCAGGAGGAGGTAACATATAGATATCTTCAGTAAGATCCCCATTTAAAAATGCGTTTGATACATCCATTTGGTGCAGAAACCAATTCTGAGATGCAGAGATAGCAAGCAACAAACGAACTGATGTGAGCTTAGCCACAGGGCTGAAGGTGTCGAGATAGTCGATGCCTTCGAGTTGAGTGTACCCCTTTGCGACTAAGCGAGCTTTGTAACGTTCTACACTGCCATCAGCCCGATATTTCGTTTTAAATACCCACTTGCAGCCAACAGGGTGTTTATCAGGTGGTAAAGTGCAGAAAGTCCAGGTTTTAGTCCGGATCAGAGCATCGAGTTCGAGCCTCATGGCGTCTCTCCAGGATTCAGATTTGACAGCTTGGGAGAAGGTTTTAGGTTCGGTTGATGTAAGGATTGAGAGAGCAAAAGGCTTGTAAGAGGATGTAAGTCTGTGATAGGATAGACAAGAAGAAATGGGATGTAATGTCGAAGGGTATGGAGACTGAGGTGGTTTGTTATTGGTGAGGAAATAACAATGATAGTCTGCCAAATAAGCTGGAGCCCTAACCAAACGCTGTGATTTTCGAATTGTTTCAGAATTATCAATGACATTAGGAGGAGAGGGGGATGGCAAAGAAAAAGTTGAATCTGAAGCTGACTGTGGGGAATAGTCATGATCAGAAACAACGGGAGATTCTGAGACATTAGATTGTCTAGAGGGTAAAGGGAAAGGATGATCAAAAAAGTGATAAGAAGGTGGATCTGATGGAAAAAAAATGACAGACTCTGGCTCTAAGGGTTTATCCAGAAAAGGGAAAGAGGTTTCATAACTGTCGACGGGAAAGAGGTTTCATGGAAAACAACATCACGAGATGTGGAGATGACATTGCTTTCCAGATTTAAAACTCTGTAACCCTTTACACCTGGTGGATAGCCAAGGAAAACGGACGGAGAAGCCCGAGGGGAGAACTTATGGCGATGTTTGGACAAGGTAGAGACGTAGCAAAGGCATCCGAAAACACGAAGGTGATCATAGGTTGGTGGGGTTTTGGTAAGTATTTCATAAGGTGTTTTATGGTTGAGAAGACGAGAAGGGGTTCGGTTGATCAAATAAATGGCAGTCTTTACACACTCACCCCAGTATATAAGAGGTATATTGGATTGAAAAAGTAAGGCCCGAGCCACGTTTAAGATGTGACGGTGCTTACGTTCAACCACCGAATTCTGTTGCGGTGTGTAAGGACATGAAAAATGATGTTGGATGCCTTTGGACTGAAGAAGTTCGGTAAAGGAGAGTTCGGGTGCATTGTCCGAACGGATGGTTTTGATTGTTTTGTGAAACTGAGTTTGAACATAGGAGATAAAATCTGGCAATTTAGAAACAACGTCAGATTTAGAGTGTAAAAAGTAAACCCAGGTAAGACGAGAACAATCATCAACCAAAGTAAGAAAATATTTACAGCCATCATGAGTTTCTACATGGAATGGTCCCCATATATCAAGGTGAACCAGATCAAAAACATCAGTAGAACGATGACCACCAAAAGGAAAGGAAAGTCTATGTTGCTTTGCAAGTGGACAGACAGGGCAACGTAAGTATTTAGTGTCTGAAAACACAAAAGTGGGCTGAGAAGAAGCCGAAACAGCCTGTATTTTGTAAGTAGATGGGTGTCCCAAGCGATTATGCCAGAGAACATCCTTGGAGATTGATAAAGCTGTACAAAGAAGAGGCGGGATAGATGCAGCAGAGGAAGTGTCCTGTGCCGCCAAGGTGTAGAGGTTGTTGATCTGATTACCCTTCCCAATCGTCAAGCCCCGCGTAGGGTCCTGGATCAGGTAGGAGTCATGAGAAAAACAGACCGTAAGAGAGGTGTTTTTAGTAAGGGCACTGACACTAAGGAGATTAAAACGAAATGAAGGAATAAACAGAACAGATTCAAGAACTAGAAAAGCTGACAGAAAAACAGAGCCAGAGTGAGTAACTGAGATGGAATCACCGTTAGGCAATGTAACAGTGAGAGGAGTAATGTAGTGAAGATTCTGAAACAATCGAGAATCACAGCAAATATGACTAGTGGCTCCAGTGTCTAAAATCCAAATATTTGGTGATAGGTCTGAAAAAGGAACAGAGGTATGAGAAGGAGAACGGGTTGAAAGCGTTATACCTGAGGAAGAAGAAGGATTAGTGGTGGTGGAGGGGACTGTCAGAGCTGAATCCGATGGAGAGGCACCAAGTTGCTTGAGCTGCGACTGAAACTGATCGAACAGAACCTGGGCTTGTGCCAAAGGGTCAGAGACAGGGGTGAGAGATGATGCAGAGGTTGCTGGTGGTTTGGTTACCAGGTTAACAGAGGGGGTGTATTTTGGGGTAGGTAGCAAGGGTGGTTTAGTGTTTGGGCTCGGAAAGAAAGATGAAGGGGAGGAGCGAGAAGATTGTGGGTAACCGTGAAGCTTGTAGCAACGGTTAATGGTATGACCCAGTAGACCACAGTGAGTGCACTGAGGTCGGGGTTTGGTGATGGTGGATCTGGGAAAAGAAGGTTTAGGTTTGAAAGAAAATGAGGTAGCCTGAAAAGCAACAGGTTCTGAGGGATGCGGGATAGAGTGATGATGGTGTTCTTCCTGAGAGAGAAGGTTGTATACCTTGGTAAGGCTGGGCAGTGGGTCGAGCATGAGAATATGTCGGCGAGCCTGAGTGTAGGAATCGTTCAGCTTCATGAGGAACTTAACAACGTTACGGCGCTCAATGATCTCTATGAGTTTGGCGTTCGCCTGGCATGAGCAACCTCCGCAAGAACACAGGGGATATGGCTCATAGTTCTTGAGCTCTTCCCACAGACCATGAAGTTTAGTGAAGAAGGAGTTCAGATCTAGAGGACCTTGGCGCAGAGAATCGATCCGTTGCTCGACATTAAATATCTTAGAAACGTTGCTCTGTTTGAATCTTGTTTCCAAGGTTTCCCAAATGATTTGGGTATCATCGAGAAACAAGATCAAGCTCGCGATGTCAGGAGAAACGGAGTTGGTGAGCCAGGTAGCAACAAGAGCGTTGCATCGTGACCAAGCCCCAGAATCAGCATGGTCTGCGGCAGGTTTAGGGACATGACCATAGAGAAACCCAAGTTTGTTCTTCGTTGTCAGAGCTTTAATGACAGCTCGAGACCAGAGATTGAAATTTTGCTCACCCAAAAGTTTCTCAGAAACAAGGGTTAGGCTCGAAGAATCAGCAGGGTGAAGAAAAAGGGGATTAGAATAAGGGTCATGGCTAGGTGGATGTGGGTTCTCGGTAGCAGAGGGCTCAGAGGAAGAAATCTGGGTTGAAGAAGGCGTCTCCATGTTTCAGAAGGAGAAAAAAAAACGCAGAAAAAGGGTGAAGAAGAGAGAGCGAAGCGATGAAGGAGATGAAGAACAAGGTTAAATCTCTGATACCATTTTGATATGTAAAAGCAGGGCGAGAGAGCTTTTCAAAAATGGTTTTCTGTATATTAAAACTCATACTACAATACCCCTATTTATACACAGAAAGAATATTCTAACTTGCAAAAAATGGTTATGGTCCCAAACCTACTATGAGCTATAAAGGCTATAAGAAACAAGAAACCATGTACACGTTCCGTAGCGCCAGAGGAGCAGAGTAGTGTCTGCTAAACCGATGCCAAACCGATGCTTCGAGAAATCAATTTTTAACCGGATAAAATCTAGAAAGTTTATTCACTTTTTTTTTCGAGCGGCATGAACAGGCCAGGAAAGCGTTACGAGCACTGAAGGCACTGGTGAGGATACAAGCAATTGTGCGTGGCCGAGCTGTGAGGAGCAGAGTGGCCGGTGTGCTAAACCATTCGCCCTCTCGTCCAAATCTGCAAAAAGATTACCAAGAAGAGAATCTTCCTAAGCATAGAAGGGAGATCAAAGAGGAACTAAAGGTACGAACTTTGATCTACAAGACACTCGAACAGTTGCAAAGTTCTAACTTCAGTTTTCACCAGTTCAGTTGAAACATGTTAAATACAGAACCGAACCAGGTGCTTCCCCTCTGTCTATAACTTTGTCTGAAACATAAGATGTGTCCCCTGCAGGTAGAGTGCAACAGTCAGAATACCTGGGACTGCAGTGCTCTTACGAAGGAAGACATTAAGGCCATATGGTTGAGGAAGCACAATGGCATGATCAAGCGTGAGCGTATGTTAAAATACTCCCGCTCTCACCGGGTAATTTACGCTACCCATTATCTCATCTCCTGTCATTTTCAAAGCACAATCAATGGCTTTGATCTTGATCTTTATATATCCAATCATTCAGCTTCTTCATTTGAATTTCCTCGTAAGTTTTTTTTTTGCAGGAGAGAAGAAGCCCTCGTATGCTCGAGGAGATGGGGATGAGGAGTTGCAGGATGGAGAAGTGGGATGAATCAAGAACTGCAAAACTCATGAACTCACTTCTCACTTCGACTGAAACATGGCTTCAGCCACAAGTAAAGATGAATGCTCTGATAAGGCAGGGCTCCATTGATGAGCAAGACTCTGCCTTTTCTTTCCCACGTGGATCTTTCAGCTGTTCCGAGCAGAATCTTGCGGCAGACGGTTGTTGGGTTTCAAACTCTGAAGCTTTACCGCCTTATATGAATTTCACAGAGTCTGCAAAGGCAAAGATAAGATCACAGCGTGTAGGATTCATGGATTCTGCGGATAGAGTCCGTCTCTGGGCTTCATATGATGGTCAGATTAAGAACAGAAGCTCTCAGCAGTTTTTGTCTGGAAACATGAACCGCCATTGTTGATTGAATCTCGAGCTCACTTGTTAACATTTGAAGGCTCTCTCCCTGGTTTTCCTCTCTTCTTCTTCCAAAGTGGCCCTTTTGATGTCTGGTTCTGTTCATTTCTGTTTGAGCAATTGAAGCATCTCTCTCATTGTGAATCTTCCTGTTCAAAGACACGAGACAAAGAGTGGCAAGAGTTATACAACTAACGAGTTCGCTAAAAACGGAAAGACGACGAGACTATTTTTGATATTAATGAAAATATAGGGGATATTTCGAACGATTGCTATAATGTTGGGGGTGTTTTTGCAAAATAGCAAACAAAAATTCTATGAAACGCAGATCTGCGTTCTGTTGCAGCGACGGTCCCCGCACCGGAACGTTCACTGACTCCGTAGTTTCGGAGACATCAATTACGAAAATGCCCTTGCTCCGCCTCCCGCCGCCGCCGTGTCTCCTCTCTCCGCCGTATCTCCGTTACGTCCGCTTCGCCGACGGCCCAAGCCCACCTTCCTCCATCAAAATTCCCTTTCAGCCATATCTGAGACCTCTGAATTGCGCGAAACGTTGCTCTCCTCCTCTTCTTCCCACCAATTCAGCAGCCAAAACCCTAAAATCATTGGCTCATGTTAAACCTTTCCTGCAATCGGAATCCAGAGCCGTCCTCTGCGGTTGGCTCTGCAGTTTTGTCTCTGTAGCATCTCTGTCGCAGATAGTCCCCAGGCTTGGGTCCTTCACGTCGAGCCTGAACGACAAAGCTGCGAGCTTGATGATGCTGAGGCGAGAAGGTTTCGTGTTGATGGCACTGGTTTTGGCTAAGGCGATCGCGGGTTATCTGCAGCAAGCGTTTCTGTGGGAGGCTGCGATGAATTCGGTTTACAGAATCCGGGTTTTCGCGTACCAGAAGGTTTTGGAAAGGGAATTAGGGTTCTTCGAAGGTGGGCATGGAGTTTCGCCTGGGGACATCGCGTATCGGATCACCGCCGAAGCGTCTGATGTTGCCGACACCATTTATGCTCTTCTCAACGTAAGTGGTGAATCCTTTATGCCTAGAACTCCCAATTGTTCAAGAATCAACTTCAAGGTGTTAAGTCTATTAGACCATGTCTCTAAAGTTTCTTCCTTTTCATTTGGGTTGTGCAGTAGATCGTGTAGTCGTTGCTCTAACTGTGAGCTAAATTTGTGGCAGACAGTCGTTCCAAGTGCTTTTCAGATATCTGCAATGACGACACAAATGTTTGTTGCTAGTCCTTTCCTGACATTGATTTCTGCAATGGTGAGTGAAGCCGGTGAAAATTTTTGGTTAGGTTTATCTGTCTTTTTCTTTTGCCCTTAGTTTAAGCGTGTCCTGTATTAGAATGTCTGATTCAGACCATGCATATAACTGCTACAGTCTGAACGGTGTTTGGTCTAGGTGATCCCATCTGCGGCCCTTGTCATAGCTTATCTCGGCGAACAGCTTCGCAAGATATCTAGAAGGGCACAGCTCACTTCTGCTTCGCTTTCTGCTTACTTGAATGAGGTATGCTTCTCTCTGTCCCCTTGTTACAGAGTTGTTCTCTTTTTTCCCTGTCTTCCAGATTCTTTTCCTGTAGGATTCCATTCTGTGATTTCTCCGAAAATGTGAATGCATGGTGATAGTTGTGTTTTTTTTTGCCATTAATGTATGTGAAAACTACTAATGTAGCTCATTTTCAGGTCCTTCCTGCTATTGTATTCGTGAAGGCTAATAATGCAGAGGCTTCTGAGAGTGTCAGGTTTCAGCGGCTTGCTCATGCCGACCTGTCTGAACGTTTGAAGAAAAAGAAAATGAAGTCATTTATTCCACATATCGTTCAGATTATTTACTTTGGAGCTTTATCGGTCTTTTGTGTTGGGTCATTGACACTCTCAGGCTCTTCCTTCAGCTCCTACACAATCGTGTCGTTCTTGACATCGCTTGCTTTCTTGATCGATCCTATCCAGGTACTTCACATTTGTGAAAGAGGCTTTTTCATGTCTCTTTTTGTTATTTTTCTATGTTCCAGTGCCTAATGAGATACTGATATACATTTCTGAGAATTATTCTCTTTTACATTATAATCGTTTTTTTTTCCATTTTTTTTCACACAGTTACTTTTGGATTTGTGCATATACACTCAGGCTTCCCATGATATAGGAACTATTGCTCCTCTTCTGTTACATAATGCTTTCCAGTTTTCTGGATACTCGTATCTCACTGAGGTTTGTCCCATGCAAATCTGTTCTTGTTAGGATTTTGAATCTAAAGAACCATGCAGGATTTGGGGAAAGCTTATAATGAGTGGAAACAAGGAGAGCCAGCAATCGAACGGTTATTTGATTTGACCCAATTTAAGGCTAAGGTAACATAAGCTCGCGTTAAACTCACTTTTACCCTTGTGATCCTCTTTGAATATTTCTTCTGTTCCCCATAATATATCGTTTTCTCTACCATATCTCAATCCTAAAGTTTTTATCTTTCGTCTTGAAAATTAGGTGATCGAGAAACCTGATGCCATTGAATTGGAAAATGTAGCTGGAGAGGTTAGATTTTGTGATGTTTCTTTTGCATATGAGGAAAACTCGCCTCCTATTTTGGATTGCTTAAATCTTCATATTAGAGCGGGAGAGACTGTAGCCATTGTTGGGCCTTCGGGAGGAGGAAAGACGACTCTGATAAAATTACTTCTCCGCCTTTACGAGCCTTCATCTGGTGGGCTATCTAATTTTTCTCGATTTATTGACATCTGATCGTAGTGTTTAGAAAATGCATTTGATTATGTAATCACATTTTTGGCCCGTCTTTTTTTTTTCCTCATTGACAGGCTCTATCTTATTGGACGAAAATAACATCAAGAACATCAAACTGGAGAGTTTGAGGAAGCATGTTGGTCTGGTTTCACAGGACATAGTAAGTCGCAATCCTTTACCAGTCATTTGTTCTCCACGCAATGTATTGCCATTTGTGTGCCTTAAAATGCCATTTTTGGCCTGTCTAATGGAACATTAATCATGCATCACTATTCGGTAAAAGGGTTTCGAACAAATACAAAAGACTGAGATACTGGAGTGATCCGTGGAACTGGACCCTTCACTTGCTATGCCATTTTGGGTGCATATTTTGCTGTCATGTAGTCTTTGTAAGATTAGTTCATTCTGGTTGATAGTAGAAACTAACGAATCATGGGAATCTTCCAAGAAATCCTAATTCTACATCTCGGTAATCTTTTGTTTTTTGCCCCCAAACAAGACGATGTTTTCAGGGACAGTTGCCGAAAACATTGGGTACAGGAATCTAACTACAGAAATTGACATGAGGAAGGTTGAGCTTGCTGCTCAAACGGCAAATGCTGATGAATTTATCAGAAATCTACCAGAGGGGTACAGCACAAGCATCGGTCCGAGGGGTTCAAGCTTAAGTGGAGGCCAGAAGCAAAGGTGGGTTCTGAAAAGTAATTGACTTTGCCATTATTTTTTTCCCGTTCTTCGTTACGATCAGAAGCCATTCAGGCTTAAGCTCGTCGGCTCGTTTATAGTTTTGACCATGTTGCCTCAAAATTCATGCATAAAATCCGTGATGTTTTCTTATTTCATATGGCTTATCTTGTTACACCTACGGAAATATGCCAGACTAGCCATAGCAAGGGCACTCTATCAGAAACCATCCGTACTGATTTTGGATGAAGCAACTTCAGCATTGGACAGCAGGTCCGAGTTACTGGTGAGACAAGCTCTCGAACGTTTGATGCAAGATCACACGGTAAGAACACGCATCCACCTCCTCTCCATGTAATGAAAATCTTATTACTTTATTACATGGGTCTATGACTAAGTGTATATATACACATCTATGTTCTTCTGAAGCTTTCTGGTTTCTGCAATGAGCAGGTGATCGTAATCGCACATAGGATGGAGACAGTTTTAATGGCGGAGAGAGTTTTCCTTTTGGAGAATGGGAAGGTGAAGGAGTTAAATCGATCCTCTCTTCTCAGTCACTCACTTTCTTCAGCTTGGCTTCTCATTTGATGTCTTTTTTGCCTTGCAAATCATTTGTAACCAAGTGGAGAAAGCAAATAAAAAACCCGGATTAAACCGGTCGGTACAAGGACTGATACGTTTAACCGGAAACGGTACGGAATAACGGTCCGCTAATTAATAATAGATTGGATATGATCATATAAATTAGATTTTTTTTGTCATCCGCAAAAATCCTCGCTTCTGAGTCCAACGGTCGGGACTGCACCGAAAATGGTTTTCTCTCTCCTCTCTCTGTCGCCGGCGAAATTCTCCGTCAATCTCTGTTCAAATCGGGAACCTAGACGGAGGTACTCCTCTGGTTTTTCCGGTGCTGTATCGCCGAGGGTGATGGCCGTCGACGGATCTACGAGGCAGCGACAGCGGCGAGCCATGTCGGGGTTCGAGGCTAGGGGTTCTCTCGTTTCAGCTCTCGCCTCTCAAGCTTCCTCCGTCTCCCAACGCCGTAAATGTTTCGTCTTTCTCGTGATATCTCATGATTTGCTTCAGTTCTGTCGGTGAATTTCGAGCTGAATTGGTTGTTCTCTTCTTTTATGTCTGTTCGTCAGTTTTGGCTGATTTGGCAACTGAGACAGTGAAATACGTCGACGGCGGGGAGCCATGTCGGGTTTCGAGGCTAGGGTTTCTCTCGTTTCAGCTCTCGCCTCTCAAGCTTCCTCCGTCTCCCAACGCCGTAAATGTTTCGTCTTTCTCGTGATATCTCATGATTTGCTTCAGTTCTGTCGGTGAATTTCGAGCTGAATTGGTTGTTCTCTTCTTTTATGTCTGTTCGTCAGTTTTGGCTGATTTGGCAACTGAGACAGTGAAATACGTATTCCCGAAGAGGTTCGATAGTGGGAATTTGGAGGAAGCGTTAATGGCTGGTTGGTTACGCTGAGAATTCTTGTTGCTCATCTTTCCCTTAGTTTTACGCTGTTCTTAATGTTGTTCTGTTTGTTTCCTGGGAATTTTTCTTAAGTTCCGGATCTTGAGACAGTGAATTTCCGAGTTCTAAGTAGGACAGACAAGTACGAGATTAGAGAAGTCGAGGTATATTGCTACTTTCAAGTTAGAACTTTCTGTTTCTTGTCATGTCAACAGTGGTCTCACTTCAAGGTTATGACTTTGGAACAGCCCTATTTTGTGGCCGAGACAACAATGCCGGGAAAAGGTGGATTTGATTTTTACGGTGCTTCTAAATCTTTCAATGTGTTGGCTGAATACTTGTTTGGTAAGGTAGTAGGAATGTTTCACTAAGTACTCTGTTGCATACCTTTTAGGTTTGTCAAGTTTTCTTAGCCTTGGATACATATGTTTTGGTAGAACACGATGACGGAGAAAATGGAGATGACGACACCTGTGGTTACCCGTAGGACTCAGTCTGAGGGAGAAAAGATGGAAATGACAACTCCGGTAATAACCAAGCGGGTAAGTATCCTCATCAATGGATCTCAAAAGGTGTCATTTGGGATGATAGTCCTTGGAAATTTGCTCATTGTCCATTTAGTTTGTTTTGCGATTGCGAACTGTGGAAGTTTTAAATATGGAAACTCTAAGCTTGTTTAACAGTAATGCCAATGACAGAGTAGCTACTAGGTAGAATCCGTTATATTGGTTGCGTTTGATATTGCGGTTTTAGCTATTTTATCAAGAACATACCACCGTTTCTGTAGTCTGGATGCCGACTCATACCTTTCGCGATATAAAAGAAAACTCTTAAAATTCACCTAGCATTGCACTGAAAATGTAGATGCTGAAAGATTACTCTGTTGTCTGGGTCATTGCCACTTGAAACTTGCCCGTAAGAAGTTCATGTATTGAAAGATGTTGCGCTTGTATATTTGATCGTCATGATCCATGTATAAATTCTTCTCTTTATGCTCGTATCTCGCATGCATATTCTCCTTCAGGGAGGAGATCAAGCCCATTGGCGGATGTCTTTCGTCATGCCCTCAAAGTATGGTGCCAATTTGCCATCTCCTAAAGATCCTTCAGTTAGAATTCAAGAAGTGCCACGAAAGATTGTTGCTGTTGTTTCCTTCTCAGGTAAGATTATCACGTTCCTTACTCGAACATGTGATGATTCATTTGGTCTGAATTAATCATTAGAAAAGCCTCGCTATGGTCAGCCTTATGTCTGTAAGATACTGTGCCCATGCTTATGAAAAAACATTTTTTTTAAGGTTATGTGACTGATGAAGAGGTTGAACGAATGGAACGAGAACTAAGGCATGCTTTAAAAAGGGACAGGAAGTATCGAGTGAAGAATGGAGCTTCAGTTGAAGTTGCACAGGTTCGTTAAACCAAGTAGATTCTCTGAATAATAATTCTCTCTGAGTATTCACAACTGTACTTACACACTGTAAAAAAAACATGCAGTACAATCCTCCATTTACTCTGCCATTTACCCGACGGAACGAGGTCTCTCTTGAAGTTGAAATAAAGCAAGACGACTAGCGTTTAGACTCCTCGTCGAGCTCTTAGCTTTTTCTATGGATTCACGCAAGGAAAATACATATACACATACAAACTGCTCTGTAAATAACTTGTATGTCTCATGCTTGAGTCGAGGTGATGTTGTTCTGTTATTAGGCAGTTTGTTAAATCAATGTTGATGTTATCTAGTAAACAGTAAGATCTTCCAAATAGTAAAATTGCAGGTTACATAATCATCTGTCTTATACAACTGTTTATAGTATTTATCTGATCCTTACTATACTGGGGGAGAAGGAAAGAGTTGGGTGACAAACTCTTGCAGGCTTTTTACAAAGATGGAACCCGAAATCTTTTGTGGCTTTTCTTGGACAAAAGGTTCGGTATGGTGTATATTCTTCTTTTCTATTCCGGGTGTAATATACAAACCCGATGTATATATGTATACATGTTTCTATTCTATGCTATTCTAATTCGGGGATGCTATCTAACGCAGGTTTCCAACCTCTGTTGCAACATTCATCAAGATCATTGCTTACAAGTGAGTCTTGTTTGCCCAAAGCCTGATTCACCATCTCGTGGACCGACCCTCCTTCGAGCAACTTCTGCAATTCTTGCTTGGTTACAACAATCTTCACTCTCACAACCTTTACGTTCTTGTCATCATTTTCTTTATTGTGATCATCATCTTCTCTTAATCTCTCTTTCTCCTCCTCCTCTGCTTCTTCTTCCTGATGTTTAACCTCAGGATTTGCAAAGCTCACTTTCTTCGCCATCTTCTTCTTCCCCATAGGGACAGGCACGAGATAGTAGAGGCGGCCGTGGACGAGTTTAGCCTCAGGGTTCAGATGTTGAGTATTGGATATGGCGTCGAACAGTTTGTGACCAGAGAATTGGGTAAGAATCTGATGAACCTTCATCGGTTCTCTGTATTCGAGAACCTTGCCGTCGTTTCTGACGATCTTTATGGCTTTGTTCTCAAGAACTATGCAGTTCCCCATGGATATCTTCTTTGTTTGTCACTTGTTTAGTTTCTAGTTTTGTTTTTGTGCAGACAGACAAAGAGGACAAGTTGTGTTGTCGGAGTGTTTCTGTATTTATAGAGTTTTCGGTTTACGAGAATGCCCTCGAATTTTCTTGATACTACAGGCAGTGGCATTTAAATCTCGTGGGGCCCAAATTCATCATTCTTTGATTCTTGGGTGGGCGGGGAAGCCCACAATCTTTATGGTAATTATTATTTTAAATACAAAAATGGGTAATATGTCAGAAGTTAAATGATATGTACGACCTCCCCTTCCATTGTAAGATTATATGGTGCGTATGTTTTTAACCAAGTAATTTATCTTTGACCTCTTCTTCCATGTTAACATTATATCCAATTATTTAGGTCCACTCATCGTTTGAATTTCTTTTAAAATATAGACTTATATTTTGAATTTCTATCATATTATGGTTTGATTCCGTGTTTTTATGTAACTTATTTAATTTTATAAAAATTATATTTGTTCTGTTTTTTTTTTTATCAAATTTATGTTCATTTATGTTCTATTGGAGTTTTATTTGAATCTAATTTGACTTCAGTTTTTCACTACAAAATATATTTATTTTACAAAATATATTTTTAGATATATTAATTAGTTTTATATTTCGCTCTTTAAGATTTATGTTAGTTTAGTTCAAACATATATATATATATATATATATATATATATATATATATATAAAATCTAATTATTTAGTATTAATTTCTATTACTTGTACAAAATAGGGTGTCTTGTTGTAAAAGCTTGATGGACCAACAATTTATAGATTTCACAATCTTTATTAGTATTTACAATTTAGAAAAGTAATTGACATATGACTTAGATTCCCATATAATATCAACTACTCTTTAGATTGAGTGGCAAGACCGTACCAAGTCTATGAACTATATAATATAAAGTATTTTTTATATTATGTTTACAATTTTATTTTAAGAAAAAAACAAAGGTAGAGTGGAGCCTTGCCTATCCCCACCCCATATATGTAAAACGAGTGGATGTCAATTCGAGCTTCAAAGTTGACTCCAATAAGCAACATTGACTATCTCCAATCTCCCAATTGCAGCCTCCCCTCGCACTTTCACATTCCTCTATTTACTAAATGTTAATTTTATATTTTCACCAAATCAAATCATTTCATCTCATGTTTTTCATTTAGCCTTTCCTTATTTATCATTTAATTAATATTAAAATAAACAAGCCACGTGATCTCAAGAGTAAACTCAACTTCCTAAAGTCGTCATCTCATGTTTTTTTTTTATAACCGAGAGGTTCACCTGGACTTTCGGCCCAACCTACATCCCCTCAGGTTCGGTAGCAACCTTTAGAGTATATTTAAGGGCCCAAAGAGCAACACCTTAAATACATTTCTCCCTCCTCATCAGCTGGTTTTGAACTGGCGATCGGGATCCAGAGAGCAACATCCTCTCGCCACTCGACCAGCCTGGGTAAATCGTCATCTCATGTTTCTAGGCAATTTGTTAGGGATAAACATTTCCAATATTAAAAATACATATATTTTTATAGTGGGAAATATATCATTCAGTTTCGTTCTTTTCCTTATAACGTGAAACCGAATCCGATCATCCAATAAACGGTTGAGGTGCTATACTTGCATGGCAATTTGCTGACTGTATCCTCCCATCTCTATGTGACCACCACATACATTTGTACATGTGTATATATGCATACATATATATACACACATGTGCATTATATATGTGTATATGGGCGTGTGAGAAAGTTGATTTTTTTGGCCGCGTGGTCCAGCTGATGAAGCAAGTTTAAGAGGACATAGGTTGCCACGACCTATATATATGCTTGTTATGGCCACCGACTTGCCCAAGTTGCTAATCGCCCTTGAGATTTTTTCCAATCTCTTATCGTAGTATATACGGGTATATACATACGTATATATATATATATATATATATACACGTAGAGTCGTCACGAACATACAAGAGTTATTATTGTTGGTAACGCATCTTAATTAACATGGCAAAAACGTTACTATTTGTGATGAAATAATGGATTATGATCTCACTCGCTGTTATCCATACATGAATTTCATGTGACTTGATCCAAACTCAAACTTTAACCACAAGTAGCAAAGGGGTGTTACATTCATTGTATTGGAAGAGATGGGCGGTGAAAATCAGTGTGAAAAGGACATGGGAGCACTAAAGGAGATGGAAGAAATGTGAAAAAGAAGAGAGAGAGAGAGAGAGAGGGTGATTACTCAATGGGTGGATGGATGAATTTATAAGTAATTAGGGTTTTGGTTCGTGGGGATGGTGGAGGTTGCTGTGTAAGCAAAGCATGCTTCGCCTCTCCCCTTTCTCGGTGGTTACAGCAGAAACTTTTCACACTTCGATCTTCCTTTCTTTCTTGAATTGTTGCGTGGATTTTTTTAGTAACTTTAACCAATCTCTATTTAAAAATATATTCTTTCATGTTATTGGAAAATATAAAGAGTTTCAGTTCCTATAGAATTTAGATATTAGTGTATTTTCTATTTAGATTAGATTTATATATTCTTATCATTAAAATAGGAATTATGAATTCTATTAAGAAGAAACTATATTGTATATTTAAGATCATTCGATCATCAATAATACAACAAGGTTTTATTCCGTAAATCTTTACACATTTTCTCTAAATTGTTGGCAAAGTTTCTGAGAAAATTTTTGCGTGTACGGTTTTTTTATTTTTTCCTTCCGACTTTTAAGTATTGAAAGTTTTCTATAAATATGGGACAATACGGAAAGTTGGAATTTTTTGTTTACGAGATAAATAGGATCGTTCAATTTCACATGTATATATATAATAATACATGAGATTATAGATTTTTTTTTACAAAAGTTAGTAAAGAAAATTTATTTATATTTTTTCACATATTTAATGAAAAATTCAAGTGGGTTGAATGTTAAATAGTGCATCAATCGGAGTTTTATTAATAAAGGCTTGATGAACGTTAATTACATGCATCAATTTAAAAATATCAAATGCCATCTAAACAGATATCGCGTTTTACAAATTATTTTCAAAGATATTGGATTGTCCCACACACCCAATAAAATCCAGTCACAAATTATTTCGCGTTTGCGTTTTGATAAAAAGAAATTGGGCCACGATGATATATAATGCCAAAAATATCACAAGGAGTAACATTAATTGTTTCTTATTTAGTGGAATATGTTGCTTATATTGTATTTCTAATAAATAAATATTTCTATATGTAGTATGTGCAATATCAATTGTTTCTTATTTAGATTCTGATGCTCTATTTTTTTTTATTGTTAGATACGTATTTTCTTTATATATAATTGTTTTCGTTATTAGATTATGATACGACCACTCGATTGAGCATTATCCAAATGAATTATTATTTTTTAAAATAACAATTATATGTTACGATCCTTAGTTGTATACTTGTATATTAGAAATCCCAAATATAGATATATGCATCTTGACTCAATGACTCTAGATGCTTTTAGGAAGGCTTATATCAGCATGACATCACAATATTATTTATAAAAAAATTGTTTCAAAAGATTAAACTTATGAAAGGGAACATTAACATTATTTCATGTATGTTGATAAATGCACATATACATAAAGATATACAGCGTCTACATAATAAAGACATCCAGAGAAAATTAATCAAAATATCATTTGATAATAGTTATAATATAACTGAATATTTGAAAAAAAAAAAATTGTCTCAACTGAACAAAAATGCGCATAGAAGACGTAACTTATAATTCATTTGTAATATTGAAAATTGTATTATATGAAAAATAGGAGGAACAAACAGAAAAGAGGTACAAGATTCTGTTCCCAAACTTTTGGTCGGTCCACGTGTCATTCCAATTATCTAACGCCACGTGTCCATATTCTGTTGGTCGGTGCCGGTCCCAATTAATATCTTTGACTTGGCTAAATTACATGACTTAGGAATTGTTTGCGTTGAATTTACATTTAAAAGAAGTCGTCTGTGTGTTTGATAATGTATATGAAATACATCTAAAATTACAAATAGGATTCGAACATGGAATCATATATGTCGGAATCGAAGTAATCCTGCCACATTGGCATTAATTCATTACAACAATGAATTTTAATTATGAATCTAATTTTTTTGTATTTTTTTTATCACAGGGACCCCCCGAGCCCACATACAAAACTAGGCCCACTAAATCCAGGCCCAATGGGCCTGTTTCATCTCTTATAACATGTTTCATCTTCCTCTCGATTTCAAATGAAGTAACATTTTTCTTTTGTATTTCTTTTTTGGGTAAAGATGTTTATGTGAGATGGAATTTGGAAATATTACAATACAATCAAATATGTCATTAATTTCTGGATGAATTTTTAAATTGTTTATTAACAAATGTTGTTATCATAGATAGATATAACCATTAGATTCAGTTGAAAAAACGGAAAATATAATATAGAGATAAGTATTTGTTATCAACTAATTTAATACATAAATTTCAAAACTTTTAGAAAAATATATCATTTTTAACTCTAAATAAAATAACGAATTTTATAAAAATCTAAAAAAAATATTTGAAAATTTTACAAAAATAAAAAAAATAAAAAATCCCAGCCTGATAATTTTTAAATCTTTTTCTAAGGATTTTGAAGTTTGTATATTAATTTGAAATTGGACAACAAATGTGTAATTTATTCAAAAGATTTTTTTTTTAACCTTACTACACCTTCAATCCACTTAATCTTATAGATCCAGAGTCAACCTTTAATTATACAATTAATTACGCTTCTTCTCTCCATTAGTGGAATTATTCAAACGATTTTAAAAAAATGCTTATAAATATCCGTCCATGTCTGATAACCAATCTATATGATGCCCATCTTTTAGAATTCGAGCACACGGGCAAATAATGTAAATGTTTTTTTTTAAAGAAAAAGGTAATAAAATTTTGAAAGTATAGAAAAATTAAAATAAAAATAAGAAGAAAAAAAGTGGGGAAAAAAAATAAGCCATGCGAAGGAGGGAAAGGTATTTGAACGACAGAAATTGTCGGAAATAGAGGTGGTCCGACGGGTATGATTATGGCGACCACATGTATGTGTTCTTTCATATCGGTTTGTTCGATTTTCACGTTGTGTTCCTTATTTTTTTTTATACTTAAATGGTTTTTTTTTCTTTTATTTTTTGATAAATAAATGTTTGTGTCATTGTTTTTATCGAAATTTGGCACTTAATCATAGGCTCTGTTTCCTACAAACTTCTTAAAATTTAAATCTAAATCTTCCAACTCTTCTGCTAGTGGTTTAATTTCTTATTGTATAAAGTTATTATTATTTTTTGTAAATCGATATAAAGTTATTATTTCGCCAATATTAATTAGTTATCTCAGCTAATGAAAATTTTAGGTTTCAATAATATATAGATTCTATGGTCTAAAACGACATATTTTGAGCCAATATTGATGAATAGTTTTTTTTATAATTTAACTACCCTAGTACATTTAACGTAATTTTTTTTTTGCCTCTTCTTTATAAATGGCGTCTCATGCAAAGACTTTTCTATTTTAACTTAAATGTAATTTAATCGATCTGATATCTTATTAAGTATTAAAAGCATATATATATATAATTAACAATCTCATATCAAAAACATATAATATAATAATATTCATTTGTTTTTCTTATTTGTCTTATATGTTAGATTTGCTATGAGCAGCAAAACCTACGCTTAGGCAGTCAAATCCTTTTTCTCTTTTAATAAGATAAAAATTGAAATTGAATACACTTGAAAAAGGCTAAAACGAGTCTCTATCTAGATGGCGACAAAAGAAAATTCATAGTAGTGGCATTATATATATTTTTTAAAGTTTACCTTTTTCAGTTTTTTTTTATTGTATAATTAAAATTTAAAGTGCAATGAATCTAACGTGGGGGCATTTCAAGATATTTTTGTTTTTCATCACTTTTAAAAATAACCTTTTAATCTATTAATTGCGAGTGCAAATATATTTCTCTTAAGCTTTAACAACTTGTTTTGTGTATATATATATATATATATGAATGTGAAGACCAAAATAATGACTAACATAAATTAAGTTATTACTATGTATATGTAAATGTGTGTGTGTGTGTGTGTATATATACGAGTACAAAATATTGACATTTGCTTGACGTACAATAGACCGTTGCAGTCTCTGCAGTTGAAGGAATCTAGAGAAAAGGATTTAGCAGACAGAAATATAATTATGGGGTCCAAAATGAACAATTTATTAAGTGTTCTCCAATTGTAATATTGGAGTTTGAACAAAAGAAAAGAGAGGGGATTAATAAGAAACTTTTAAGATATTTTGCAGTTAAAATAGAAAATAAGAAAAATATGAGGGTCTCCCGACAAAAGGCCCTCGAGGATCCACTTCACAGCTTCACTTCCGCAATGCCCGTTCGAAAAATATGACCGTTGACGTTAACAATTCACCAAAAAAAAAAACACAGAGACACTAAATAACTCCCCCTTCCTCTTCCTCTGTTCTCGGAAAATAAAAACCACTTCTCTCAGGGGAGAGAGAGAGAGAGAGAGAGAGAGAGAGATGGGTTGTGTTTCTTCTAAACTGGTCAAGAAGGAACTCATAAGAGAGATTCGAGTGAACCATGGCGGCGATCACATCGTCTCCCTCACTTCAACAACTTACGGTCTGCTCAAACTCGACGACCCAGTTCCTCAGGTACAGGAACCGATCAAATATGTCGGCTTGGAATCCGACAAGCCCAAGATATCTTTGGCCAGTGAAGAGCCAGAGATCATCAACACTTGGGAGCTTATGGAGGATCTTGAAGATTCGGTTCCAGTTTCACATCCACAGAGGATTAGCCCCAAATCTCGCGGCTTTTTCGGCAAATCATGGATGAGTCCGATGAAATCGACGGAAAAGATGGATTCTCCGAAGAGAAGTAAGAGATTTGTCGGAAAAGAGAACAAAGGAACTGTCGGAAACGGTTTGATCTCGAGGGGAGTTAGTCCGAATCAGGTTTTAAAGCCGAGGAATGCTCAAGAAACCCAGAAGAGAGGCGTTTTACGATTGAGTTTCCCTGTGAAATCGGAGGAACCATCAATGGCGACGACTCAGAGAAGGAAGAGTTTCAGTCCACTGTTCGACCCAGATCTCGTCGCATCCTACGAGAGGGAGTTATGTCAGGAGCAAGAACAGATCAAGCAAGTGATTTCAACCGTACCCGAGATTCTAAAACCGCAGAGAACGCGGGAAATAGAGAGAATCTTGAAGAACTTCCGGGAAATCTGCCCACCGGGGGGACAAAACTCCGTGGTCATATACACCACAACACTCAGAGGGATAAGGAAAACGTTTGAGGACTGCAACACTGTCCGATCCATCCTCGAGTCGCATCAGATTCAGTTGTCGGAACGAGACGTGTCGATGCACTCGGGGTTCAAGGACGAGATCAGGCGCATAACGGGAACAAAACAGGTGAAAATACCTGCAGTTTTCATGAGGGGGAGGCTGATAGGGGGGGTGGAGGAGGTGGTGAAGCTAGAGGAGGAGGGCAAATTGGGAATTTTGCTCGAGGGATTGCCGGCGGCACGGCTAGGAGGAGGCGGCTGCCACGGCTGCGGAGGGATGAGGTTTGTGATGTGTGGGTTGTGCCATGGAAGCTGTAAAGTGATGGATAAGGAGGAGGATGAGAACATGCCGATGAAGAAGAAGAAGAAGAAGATGGTTAAGTGCATGGAGTGTAATGAGAATGGTTTGATTGTATGCCCATTTTGCCCTTGAGAATGTTCAAAATTGCTGTCTCCCAAATCTGGGGAAGTCAAAGGAGAGAAATCTAGATTAAAACAAAAGAAAAACAACTACAAGTTGTCTGATTTTGGAAGACTGACATTGAATCTGCTTTGTTGTTGCCCTTATGGATGTTTTTTTTTTTTTTAAATTTTAGTTCTCAAATTGTATAATTGGTTGTTCATTTCAATCGGCTTTATAAACAGAGCAAGTCCAATACATGTTGGCGAAATATATGTTATCCATCGGCCTAAGGATTGGATTGGAGAAGAACTAAAGAAGTAATTTTCTATGCAATGATAAGTTCTGCAGCTTCAAGTGTTTATGGGTGTTAAGACGATCAAATACTATATATATATATGTATATATGTGTGTGTGTGTGTATATATTAATTGTTCCTCTCTAAAACCAATTTGAAAAACCATTTACGTATAGATCATTTATAAAATGGTTACTAATGTTTGAAATGATAAAAAAAACCCTATAAATATTATATTTAGAAAAAAATATATATATGAAATGATAAGATTCTATTATAATAAACACTGAAAGTTTTTTTAAAACATTTTGTACAACTAAAGTAGAAAATTTTGAAAACGGTTAATAAAAATATTTAGAAAATTGAATGGTTATCGTTCCAAATCATATGATGTAAAAGAATTATTTAGGAGACGACTAAATAATGATATATTTATAATTTTTTTAAGTATTTTAAATAATCTAAAAATAAATATTATATTTGAGAGAAATATCAAATATAGTAAGCTATAATATGATATATGTATATATAGAAAATATTTAAAATATTATATTTATATAAATTTGAATATTTGTATAGATTAATATATATTATCCCATTTTATTAATCAAATTTAAAAAACCGTTGATTACTTAGATATCGCGCCATTTGATTGTTATAAAGAATCAAATTTAAAAAACCGTTAGATTACTTAGATATCGCGCCAAATCATTTGATTGTTACAAATAATCAAATTTAAAAAACCGTTGATTACTAGATATCGCGCCAACTCATTTGAATGTTATAAAGACAGTTAATAGTTTCGTACCGAATTCATATTTTGTTGATATAGAGACTTTTAAATGGATGGATAACTATCCATCAAAAAACTATCCATCAAAATTATATATATATATATATATATATAACCAACATTGTATACCTTAAATAACTAGTCATGATCATATTTGCAATGAATATAAAATAATAAGCGACATTTTGATAAATACAGGAGAATAATTAGAATAAAATATCTTTATACAATTCAATAATTATATATATAGTTGTATTGTCCTTTTTTATTAATTGAATGTAAAAGAAGGGGGGAATAATGATATATAATGTACGAATTGATTTGGGTTATCATAAAGACCATGAGATGGCGGAATAACTATCCATCTAAATTATATTGATTTATATAGTCAATAATAACCTAAACAACGTAAAATTAAAATTCAATTATGGAAAAAACAAATATGAAGTAGCAATATTGAATTATGATTGGAAGATTGTATAAAATTGACTACATTCATAGAATTAAAATCTACTAAAAAGGGAACTCGTAAAAATCTACAAATAATTAAACATTTCTGGCACTTGTACACACACACACATATGTATAATATGTATATATATATATATGTATATGTAGATATGTATCATCACTTGTAAACCCTCCATCAGCCCATTTCCTCTTACTATTGGTCTTTCACTATGGTTTTGACAAGTGCGAAGCGGAGGATGTAAGCTTTGTTTTGTTAATTATGTCTTCTCCCTTTTGATTGGATGTTGATTTATATCTGTTTTAACGATTACGAAGACTCGTGAATCTTCTTTGATGTGAATTCTTAACATTATTTTCTTTTTCTTATAAGTTGAAGTTGATGATTTTGGGGGAAATCAAGATGATGATGATGATGATGATGATAGATCCGGATATTTTATGAATTTATAATTTTTTTTTTAATTTCTTATTAGTATTATTTTAACTGGGGGTGATCTGGGTTTTAATATATAGACTCTTCAATCAATCTATGAAAATATTAGTTGGGTTTACGAGACGTAGATCCTTTCATGGCCTCCTTTTTTTTTCTCGTGATGGTTTTTTATTTCGAATTCTAGATTGTATTTTTCTATTTGGGAGGTTAGGATTTTTGAAAAGTTGAAAATCTTTATACATTTAAAGTTCCGTTATTACCCTGATTTATGGATTGAATATTGATATTATATATTCATATTCAACCAAAAAAAATATTGATATATCATGATTTTTTCTTTTTGGTCTAATGATTGGTGTGCATCAATGAGATTTTACTTATATAATGACAACTCTATGGAGAAAAAAGAGATTATCTTATTGTCTCTTACAAAAATTCATAAACGCATCTCAGGTTGTCAGGAAATGCAGAAGAAGAAGAAGGAAGGGATGACACGTGGTCGGCCCTTCCAACAGAGATCTTGAACATGATAACGTCTCGTCTCATCTTGGAAGACAACGTTCGCGCCTCGGCTGTCTGCAAGTCGTGGCTTCGGTCTGCTGTCTCGGTTCGGGTATCGGACCGGCCTCCTTGGCTTATGTACTTCCCGAAAGCCGGCGACATGTACGAGTTTTTCGACCCATCGAGCCTCGAAACCTCCATCTTGGAGTTGCCCGAGTTGAACGGTTGTCTTGTCCGTTACTCAAACGATGGTTGGCTGCTTATGCAAAACCCTAGATCTGACTCTCTCTTCTTCTTCAATCCCTTCACTAGAGACCTCATAGACTTGCCTACTCTCGAGGACACGCCCTTCACCATCGCCTTCTCGAGCGCTCCTACCTCGGGCAATTGCTGGTTGTTCACCGGTAGGCCTCTTGATGTCGGACAGGCGGAGATCAGCACTCTGCTTGTCGGAATGGAGACCGAGTGGACAACCGAGTTGTATGAAACCGAGTTACCATTCTTCTTCGAAAACCAGAACAAGATCGTGTTCTCCAATGACCGGTTCTATTGCCTCAGCAGCATAGATTGGATAGCGGCTTTCGACCCTTTTCTCCGCTCTTGGGAAATCCTCAACGTCAACCCTCCGGGTTGCCCTTACAACCATTACCACACCGATAAAGGGTGGAGAAAATTCTTGGCCGAGCACGAAGGGGAAGTCATTGCCGTCTTCTCAAGAAACGGAATCAGGAACCCTCATGTGTACAGGCTGGATATGGAGCATTCGCGTTGGAGAAACACCAAGAATCTCGAGGGGATGGCGATTTTCGCGAGTTCTTTGTCGTCCCAAACGAGAAGCAATGTGGCCGGACAAATGAGAGGCAATGTCTGTTTGGCGAATCCTGGTTACTTCAGGAGCCGACGCCTTCCATGGTCGGCTGATGCAGACGACGTTGACAATGGCTGCTTAGAACAATGGCCTTACTCTTTTATTTGGATCGATGCCCCTAAAAACTTCTGAGCGATTTATCTCAAGAAGAAGAAGAAGAAACTATTATTACAGTCTCCCATGTTTCAGTTAATTTCTGTCGGATTATTTACATTTCCAGTTCTTGTTTTTACTGTTATTTCGGATTCTCTGTCTTTTTCCCCAGTTAATAACGGGATGACTCGTAAACTCGTTAGATGTCGAGTCTATTATCAATGCATAAAATAAAAATAAAATAAAAATTAAGGTGAAGTCATCATTGGCGCACACATTAATCCCTTACAAACCTTATGTTATGTGTACAAATATTACTCGTTATTGTATATTGTTGAAAATGATTTTTTTTTTTAAAAAAAAAAAATCGTAACGAGATCTGGCGCATGGCTACGTACTAAGGGCCTGCGAAACGGTGGAATCAGTCCATGGCAACGGGTACCTTTGGAGATGGTTATCAATCCCCTAAACTAATTCAAAAGTTATAAATGCAATATCTTGAAGAAATTTTGAAATTGTAATTGTAATATAGTAAATGTAGAAGATAATTCAAAATAGGATATATGTAAAATAAATTTTAAAAAACCGTTAATAACTAGATATCGCGCCAAATTATTTAATATTTAAAGTAACGTATCAACGAAAATGATAACTATCTACTTTTTAAAATAGTTTTAATATTTTGTAATTAAATATTATATTTTAAGTTATATATATCACAACTTGTTTAAAATATCATATATTTATACATTTAATATGACTAACAAAATCATACACATTCATTATTTATAAATAAAATTAAAAAACTGATGATAAATAAAAAATATTGCATCAATTCTATAAAAGATTCTAGATGGTGGGATAGCTATTTATTCGTATCAGATAATACTGAAAATGATTTTTAATGCTTTAAATATTATATTTGGAAAAAAAATATAAAGTAGTGAACTGTATGATGATAAGCGTGAAAGAGATTATTCTTTAAATTGTGCTACATTTATACATTTAAAATAAAAATATAAATCAATACACATGCATCTTTTGTAAATAACAAAAAAAAAGTTGATAAGAAAGTATCTTGCCACCTTCGTTATTATTAGGGAGACTCTAGATACCGTTATAGTTATCTATGTATATAAACAGCCATTGTTACCTTAAATGATGCAAAGTTTGAAATTAAATTTATAATTAATATATATATATGAAATGATGAGGCTGCATTGTGATTAAGATAGAATATTTTAAAAGTTTACTATATATACATATAATTAAAATTTATTCAAAAGGGTATTCATGAAAACCCACAAATAGTTAGCATATTTGCAAATTGGTGTTGGGCCTGTAACCTGTTGGCTGTATATTTATATAAATATATATATATATATATATATATATATATCACTCGTATATTTGATATTTCCTTGGAATTCCATCGAACCCATTTCTCTCATTGTTCATCTTTCACTATGGTTTTGACACGAAGCGCCAAGCGTAGACTGTGAGCTATTTTTCTTCTGCTCTCTCTTTTTATAATTCTGATTTTGATTTTTTTTTTGTTACGATATCATGCAGCGAACGAATTTGAATATTTATGGGTTGATTGAGTTTTATTTATGTGGTCGTTTCGTTTATGTGAAATTCATAGGAATCATGGTTAGATGTTCTTAAATTCTATGAAAATTATTGGGTGTTTATATGTTTTTTTAAATAAAATAAAGTTCTTTATACATGTACGGTTCCTTACTCGCGGACTCAGGTTGGAAATAAATGCAAGCGAAGAAGATGGAAGGTTAGAGAAGAAGATTCAGATCGAAGAAGAAGAAGAAGAAGAAGAATGGGAGGAGAAATGGTCGGCCCTTCCTTTAGATCTCTTGAATACGGTAATGTCTCGTCTCATCTTACAAGACAACATTCGTGCCTCGGCAGTTTGCAAGTCATGGCTTCAATCTGCTGTCTCGGTTCGTGTCGTGGACCTCCCCCCACGGCTTTTGCACGTCCCGAAAACTGGCGACAAGTACGAGATTCTGGACCCATCGGACCTGAGAAAACAAATCTTCGAGTTGCCCGAGTTGAACGACTGCCTTGTCCGTTACTCTAACGACGGTTGGCTGCTTATGCAAAACCCTAGCTCTGACTCTCTCTTCTTCTTCAATCCCTTCACTAGAAACCTCATAAACTTGCCCACTCTCGAGAACACGCCCTTCACTATCGCCTTCTCGAGCGCTCCTACCTCGGGAAACTGCTGGCTGTTCACCGTCTCGAATCTTGAAATCACTCACGTCAAGATCAGTACTTTACATGTCGGTAAGGCCAGCGAGTGGACCACCGAGACATTCGAGTCAGATCTACCGTTCAACTTCCAATCCTATAACCAGATTATGTTCTGTAAGGACAGGTTCTATTGCCTCAGTCGCATAGATTGGATAGCGGCTTTCGACCCTCTTGCCCGTTCCTGGGACGTCCTAAAGGTGCCTTCTCCCGGCTGCCCTTACTACCATTTCAATACAGACGAAGGGTGGCAAAAGTTCATGACTGAACACGAGGGCGAAATCTTTGTCATCTACTCACGAGACGATCTGGAAAGGCCTATAGTGTTTAGGCTCGACATTGCTCGTACGCATTGGCGGAACGAGGATGAACTGGAGGGATTGACGATATTCACGAGCTCACTGTCGTCGAAGACGAGGTTCAATCTGGCAGATATGTTCAAGGGGAAGGTGTGTTCGACAAAGGGTCGTTTCTTCAGGGTTGACTGTGATCAGTGCTCGAATATTGATGGAGTTGAGGGGCATGGTTTGTGCAATGAGTGCCGAGAACAATGGCCTCGTAGGTTTATTTGGATCGATCCCCCGAGGGAATTCCGAGACATGATCTGATACAAGGGATTCTTGACAAGGTTTGCAGGTTTTGAGCTCTGGATTGCAGAACAAGAAAACTCCATGGAAGAAGAAGAAGAAGAAGAAGAAGAAGAAGAAGAAGAAGAAGAAGAAGAAGAAGAAGAAGAAGAAGAAGAAGAAGAATCGTGTTGTTTTGTTTTGTTTTTTAATGTTTCAAGAATCGTTTTTGTTTTGTCTTTTTTTTTTTTTTGTTAAAGTTGTTTTGTCTTCTTTCTCTTGAGTCCATGTATGTTTCATGTGTCTTGGAATTATATTGTTCTAAAGGATGGGTTCTTGCATTGCATATATATCAATTTTCTCTATTTTCTGTGAAAATGTTAAATGAAAATCTAAATAAATTCACATTGTCTAACAATATTGTACATTATATAAAAAAAATCGCCATATTTGATTCTGTTAACCGGATTGAACCGGATGATACCGTTTAATCTGGTAGGACCGGGTCTTAGGTTTTGGTATTCTCTAAAGCAAGGTCTGAATATCATCTCTCTCTCTCTCTCTCTCTCTCTCTCTCTCTCTCTCTCTCGTGTTGTCTGGTCTGAATCGTCAAAGAGAGATCAGCGATAGGAGAAATAGGGTTTCTACGAGATGGATTTGATGGAAAAGAATTTGGAGTTAGTGGAGGTCCAGAAACTTGAAGGTCACTCCGATCGGGTTTGGAACCTCGCTTGGAGCCCCGTCTCCGTTTCCGGCGACGGAGTGTCACCGGTTCTTGCTTCCTGCAGTGGCGACAAGACCGTACGAATCTGGGAACAGAGCTCCATGACTCGCTCATGGACGTGCAAGGTCCTTTTCTCTTTCGTTCTTCCTGAGTTTTGATTTGGGTCCGTTGAAATTTTATTTCTTTGTTTCGTCTCTCTATCGGGATTGATGGGTTTTGTTTCGATTGTCTTAAAGCCTTCAACTTTAGCTCGAATTTTGTGGTGAGCGGATGAAATTAGTTTCCTTGAAGAGGTTTATGTTGAGATTCTTGTGTTAGGTCTCGTGGCATTTGTCGGAAAATTTCGATCCATCTTGTTGTGGTTTATGAAGCTGTTTTTTCCTTCTTGTAATTGTTTGTGCTACTAATTCAGCTCAAGCTTGATCTAGTTTTGTTTCTCTGATTTACGACTTTCGCTTTAAGAGGTTTATGTTTGATTTTGCTGGCTGTGATTTCCCAAGCTGTTTTCTGATTTTCCATTGATCAATGATTAGTCTGCTTAACTAAACGGAAGGATACCGAATTAGAGTTTGAAATGAATTGGAAGTTGTTTGAAGCACTTCCTATGGAATTTTGTAATTGAGTCTTATGATTTGTTCAGGCAGTTTTGGAAGACACACACAATAGGACTGTGAGGTCGTGTGCTTGGTCGCCCTCCGGGAAGCTATTGGCGACCGCAAGTTTTGATGGCACAACTGCCATTTGGGAGAACTTTGGATCCGAGTTCGAGTGTGTCTCCACTTTGGAGGTATTAGCTGTTCCATCTCTGTCTTGTCTCTCTCTCTCTCTATGTTTCATGTATCCTTTTGTTTGGTCTTTCAAACGAAAGCACTCTTTTTGGTGGAATATTATTGTGAAATTCTTAGTTGATGTGTTCAAAATTTAGCAAAGAGTTTCCTTAAATCTTCGGAGAAGAAGGATCATACATTGACGCGTTCTGAACATTGAGGGTTCAATGGACATGTTTCCGTTTCTTCGCAAACTTCTCACTCAGACAGAATAACAGAAGCTTTCCCATGAAGTCTTTGAACTCCCGTATCACTGTTCACTATGAGCATCAGAGCATGGGGTCATTGTGGTCTTTTATGTATTTGCTTGTGCTCTGTATGGCGTAATTTCTTGACAATGAACCTTTCTTCTGGAAATCTCGTATGTAGGGACATGAAAATGAAGTTAAAAGTGTATCATGGAATGCATCTGGTTCGCTGCTTGCAACGTGTAGCCGAGACAAGTCTATTTGGATTTGGGAATTACTGCCAGGGAATGAATTCGATTGTGTTGCGGTGTTAAATGGGCACACACAAGATGTTAAAATGGTTCAGTGGCATCCCACCATGGATATTTTGTTTTCTTGCGGTTATGATAATACAGTCAAGGTAAGGAGAAGAATTCCTGTTAAGTATGGTGATGCCGGCAGTGTTTGTGTTCGCAGATACCTTAGTTTATCGTTTTCATTGCTACCGACAGGTTTGGTGGTCTGAGGATGATGATGGTGATTATCAGTGTGTTCAAACCTTAGGTGAACCTAACAAGTAAATCCTCTATTTTGCTTATGATTCAATCTCTCCCTTCCGATTTTGTCCCGCTGCACTGTTATTCTTTTCTGATACTAGATTAATATGGTGCCTCTTTTTTCTTCGTGCAGTGGCCATTCTTCTACGGTATGGGCGATCTCCTTTAATGCTGCAGGGGACAAGATGGTCACTTGTAGGTTGGTTAATCTTTCTCATCATTTGCATCTTACAAGGTATCTAAAGTACATCAGGTCTCTCTATTTTACCATTCTGACAACATTAGACTTGTCTGAATATGCAGTGATGATCTGACCTTGAAGATATGGGGGACAGATATATCTAGGATTCAGTCTGGTGAAGGCTATGTACCTTGGTGAGGATATCGTGGCTTCAAAAATATTAGTCTTTCGCTTTTATGAGGATGTCTAATGTTTTGCCTTTTTAACAGATTTATGTATGCCTAGCAGCATATTAATTACGATATATTTTTGTCAGTTTGACATAATATGCTTGTTGGGAATGTTCCTACTTGTAGCTAATCGGATATTTACGTGTACGAGTTTTGCAGGACTCATATATGCACACTCTCCGGCTATCATGATCGGACCGTATTTTCAGTTCATTGGTCAAGGTGCTGATATCGTTTTGACTTTCTTGTTTGTTCTCCTCTAAAAGACCTTTCTCTCGGGCACACCTCTATTGTCTGATCCAAAAAGAATCTATTGTTTTCTTGATTCTGTCAAGTTTTTGATAGCCAATTTGTTGTTCAATTCCTTTGACAGGGATGATATTATTGCGAGTGGAGCTGGTGATGACGCTATACGGTTGTTTGCGGACAGTAAAGATGACTCTGTAAGCTCTTCTGAAGTTTGGTTCCTCGATGTTACATCTTACGCAGATACAGAAATCCCCGTTATTTATATCATTTCTCACCTTCACAACACAATTCAATTCAAGAGACCGAAAACATCTCGTGGATTCTATTTTTTTCTCAGATATTTAACTTTTAACTGCGGCCATAGGTTTTTCTATTAGACAACACATAGTATCATTCACTTTAGCTATACCACTCGCGCTGAAGTGAACGTTGTCTTTGTCATCAGGTTGATGGACCTTCTTACAATCTTTTGTTGAAAAAGGAGAAAGCACACAAAATGGATGTGAACTCGGTCCGTTGGGCTCCTGGGGTAAGGCTCTTTCTTCTTGACAAGTTCAAGTTCACAAGTACTAGAACTCGGTATCTGGTTGTATACTACACAATATGCTCACCATAGAATCGATTATGACGCGGGTTTTACTGAAAATCATCTCATGCCTGTGTATATACACTCGGGTCGCTGCTATAATCTTAGTTTCCAGCGATTTTGAACCTGCTTCTAGTATACTTACACATGAGACTGATCTGTAATAAAAAAACCCGAAGCAGGAAAATCGGCTGCTTGCTTCTGCCAGCGACGACGGGACTGTGAAGATTTGGCAGCTCACATCAAAACATTGAATGGCTCAGCGGAAGATTGCCCGACATGATCTTGTGATTTGCCATTTTGGGGTTTCTTCTTTCTTCTTGTCTCTTTGGTGTCTGCATAATGTTGTTGATGGATAATGTTAAAGACAGAAACAGAGTTAGAATAGTTTCTTGTTCATACAGTTTCATTTCGTTTTTGTTTTTTTTTTTTTAATATAAGGAGTGAAAAAACTGAATACAATGTATCATATACTAAAAGCTTATCATGGTTTATATCATGCTCCTTTGTGCTTTTATATGTGTGTGTATATATATATATATATATATTTCTGCTAATCTCCTCTTTTTCTAGTTCTTTCTTTTATTACTCTCTAAAGACTTCTGAATCAGAGAGAAGGAAACAAATATATTGAACCGGTTCGGTTCATTAAACCGGTTTACAAACCGGATAGAGACCAGATTCCGGGTTTAGACCGACGACAAAGCAAAACGCCCTTATAAATACCCACGAAATTAGGGTTTTTTGTTTTTGTGTTCTCTACAGCCGCTAAGTTCTTTCCATCGCAGAGCCGCCGCCCTTCGTCTTCGTTAACAGGTTTTTGTTCTTCATCCTCTTCTACTATCTTTGTCTTCGTGTGGCAAGAGACTGTGAGTGTTCTGTCCCTGATTTGATCTGTTTGGCCTCTGACTCTTGTGTAATACCCACTTTAGATTTGTCGATCGATTCTCTGTGTATCGCCTCCGAATTCTGTAATTAGGATTTGTCGCTGTTTTGTAGATGCCCGAACCCTAGATTTGTCCTTCGTACGCTGAGACAAAGCAGTATATTGTAGGTATCGCAATGGCATGTGAAGATTTCGAGGTTTTTCTTGTTCCCGGTAGGCAGAAACATAAGTTATCTGGGGAATCAGATTCCAAGGGATAGAGATTGAAGTTCTTGAAGCTTGTTGGTTTTCGAAATTCGGAATTTGGGTTTAGGGTTTTGTTCTGTCCTCTCTGTTCTTCAATCTCGTTAATTTGACTGCAATATGCAGAGCATGTGCTCTCATGGAGTAGTAATATCTTTGCTATTGTTATGTTATGCCTTGGCTCTTACATTACATGTACTGCCATGTCTTGCTTTCTGTAAATTGTGTTTGTATTCTGTGTCTGATCGTACTTTTGCTCGTAAATCAGAATGGACAGTCAGATTAAGCACGCAGTGGTGGTGAAGGTGATGGGAAGGACCGGGTCTCGAGGTCAGGTCACTCAGGTCAGAGTGAAGTTCACCGACTCTGATCGTTACATTATGAGGAATGTCAAAGGACCCGTTAGAGAGGGCGATGTCCTCACTCTTCTGGAGTCCGAAAGAGAGGCCAGGAGACTTCGGTGATGTGCCCTCTCACTTGGTTTCGTCTCACCAGCAAGTAAAAGTTGATGGATCGTTTTTATTTATTTTGTTTCGAGACTTGATTAGTGATTGTGATTGCGATTTTGTTGTTTGTTCAAGACGATTTTGCTTGAAAGTTCTGGTCCTGAATTCTAGTCTCCATCTTCTAAATCGCTAAAACCTCAAAGGCATGTTGAACTATTGGATGCATTATACTATTAATGATCGTTTCTGCTTTGTGATTCGGATTCGAGGCTGAGTTTTGAGATGAATAATGAACTCTGAAGTATATTCATCAAATGAGGTATAAGGCTTTGTGATTGAGTGGCTTCTTGAATTAGATTTGGTGAATCATAGCTTTAACCATATCTAACATTGAACCCTTTGTTGCGCCCTTTTCATGGAACACGTATAGCTGTATACATATGTATATATATGTATATGCGCATATATGTGCTTGGAGTACATGCATGCGCACAATGACGTAATGATGTGTTGTGCTCATAATGAAAGAGCATTTGTTTGCCTTCTTACACAAGCAAAGGCCTCATCGATTCCTTTGTTGTGACCAGCATTCACATTTCACGTACCTTGCCCATAATCATTTTGTAGTCACTTTTATCTTTATATATATATATAATATACATATATACATGAATTTGAAACCTTAATCATGTCCTTAGACTCTTAAAATTCTCTATAATTACGCATTTGGAAAAAGTTCATATGATCACGCATATGCCGTCCATGCTATGATGGCATGCGCACAAACTCGCTTGATGTATGGCCTTTGTTTCAGCCAAGAAGACAGGCTTTGGACCACATTCAATGTGCCCTTTTTGTTTTTTTGTCCCAAAATTTCACATCTTAGATTAGGAGCCAACCAGAACCAAATCGGACTGCGAAATTTAATGAAAACCATATCAAATTCCGTGAATAATCATATACCATCGTTTCAATTTGCATGTTATTATAAGGGTACAATTGTAATGAAGTATGTTTAGTGTTCTAATCCAGTGTTTTTCAAATGTAATTCTATATAAAACAAAAGATCAAATACCAATCAATAAACCGGCTTAACCGTGACCAAGCCCTATATATACACACACACACACATACACATAAACCATAGAAATCCAATTCTCTCATGCACGTATCAAGGGAAAGTTCATAAGAAGCTACAACTCAAAAAAAAAAAATGGAAGGAAACTTTCTACTTCTACTTGTGATTCTCTCCTTCCATGTCTACTTGACAACATCTTCAGACCCCGACCCGATCCAAGACTTCTGCATACCGAAACCGATCTCATCTCATCATCATCGCCACTTCTCCACTTCACCGCCATGCAAGAACTCTTCCGAAGTAACCACCGAAGATTTCATATTCTCCGGCTTAAAATCCGCCGGAAAATTCAGCCAGACCGGCTTCGCTACCATACCCGTAAGCCCACTCAACTTCCCCGGCCTCAACACCTTAGGCATGTCCTTTGTGCGTGCAGATTTCAAGGTGGGAGCTATCAATCCACCGCATTTTCACCCACGTGCCACTGAAATATCCCACGTGGTGAAAGGGCGTGTTTACTCGGGCTTCGTCGATTCGGACAACCGGGTTTACGCCAGAGTCGTGGAGGAAGGAGAGATTATGGTGTTCCCAAAAGGGTTGGTCCATTTTCAGATGAACGTCGGAGATTTTCCGGCCACGGTTTTTGCTAGCCTTAATAGCCAAAGTCCCGGAGTTCAGAAGATTCCGGCTGCAGTTTTCGGGTCAGGAATCGATGAAGAGTTATTGGTGAAGGCCTTTGGGTTGAGTCCTAAGCAGATTGGTACCATGAAGAAAAGATTCGAACCCGAGAAGGGCAAATGAAATTTCATTTTTTTTATATGCGTATTCAAACTATAATATATATATATATATATGGTGGTTAATGATCGTTGCTCTATATTATAATCCCTAGTATTGTTTTTATGATCTTATGGTGGTCTGTTTGGTTTCATGTTCGAGTTTGTCCTGTTGTTTATTGTGGATTCAATTATATAAGTTCATATGTTTTTAAATTTATGGTCTTTTAATAGAATTGTTCGTTCTCCCGAAAAAATGCGACAATGAAATTAGAAGCATATACTCTGTCTCAAATTTTGGTCTGGACATACAAGACATACAAGACCTAATTAAATATTCAGATGGATTAGATATATTTTTACACTCCTATAATAAATAAATATTTTTCAATAAAAACTCAAACTGAATAAATTCAAAATAAATTAAAATTTTATATAAGATTAAATAGATATAATTTTTTTCGTTATAAAGATAAATAAAAATATAAATATATACTCCGTATAGCATGTATACAGTGTCACATTTCACACTTTTTGTGGCCCATCTCACCCTATTTATTTATTTTCCACGAAATTTAAGTCATGCAGTGAATTACATTTTTCACATTCCAAGATTCAACACACAATAATTATATCTATATAACTCTATATATTTTCGTTTCTACAAAAATTTTACTTTTTCTAGGGCGGAAAATACGGGGTTTGTGCCACGAGTGACGAGTCCCAATCGTTGGTCCAAAACATTACAATGAAAATGGCTTTGCTTATTACGCTCTTGTACGAAATATAGTACAATTTTTTGGTAAAAGAAATATAGTACAGTTGAATTATAATTTTATTATTTCATATTGGATTTTTATATTCATAAGCTTTGTGCCATTTACAAAACGACAACAAATCACTTCTTTACCACAGTGAACTGACCCTTGAGCATTAACTTATCCATAATTGTAGAAAAAGAATCCAACTGCAAATGTCACTAGAAAATTGCAATATTACAAAATCTTTAATTAAAAATATTAATAGCAAAATGCAGCCTTTCTAGTTTTTATTTATTTTTTGTTAAAATAAAGCATTTTTTGAGTGTTACCCTTTTCAAAAATTGAAATTTTTTTTGAGAGTAATTTGGTTTGCAAAAAATAATAGATAAAATTTTAAATTAAATTCTATTCGAATATAATGCGGTCCGTTGTGTATTCCAAATCAAAATAATTATTTCCAAGTGTTCTATTTTTTTAGAATAATAAAATTGATTTAATGACTATTTTTTTAAATTTCCATTCAATTATTGTAAAAAAAACAAATATATTTTATGAAAAACATTTTTATTTAATGAAAATAAGTTACAAAAATTCAATTTAACAAGATAACATATGAATTATGATCGGGCACGAGACTGGAAATCGGGACAATACTTATATGTATCTGCTTTTGTCCAAGGCGAGCAATATTATGTAAAAATAATAATAAAATGGTTTGCATTAGAAAACTATTAAAACTTTACAAAGCTACTCGTCACCCCTTCGTGTACTCGAGTAGATAAAATTCTGTCTATATATATATATAAAGGTAAATAAATTCAGGATAATCTTTTTACTTATAATATTCACGTACGTACATAGTCATATATGTGTATCTATTCATGCACTGGAGTTTTTCTTTGTTTTATTATTTAACATTTTTTTTCCAAAATTCTGTACCATACATACATTAGATGCGAAAAGCAAGTGGAACGCTTCCTCGCCGGTTTGCGAACGGCATTATATATATATATATATATATATAATGCCAATAAATGAAGTGACCAGTTGCATTTATGTTCCAAGGACCCACATATCTACGAGTGCATTACGCTGTTCGCTTTGGAATCTATTTATGAAGATATTATTTATTATTTACACCATCATATAATAAAAAAACGACTTGATCTTGTACCAATGGTTCGACAGCTTAAACCGGTAAACCATAATACGTTAAAAATACCTTGAAAAAAATTCTTATCAATTTAATGGGTGTATATTTATGTATGTATATGCATATAACGTAAAACCTCAATAAATTAAATATATTTCAACAAAATGATAAAATATAATTGAATTTAGAATTTTTAAAACGACATTCCCATATCTTATGAAATTCAGGGTTTTTTTGTTGCTTGATTTCTATGTTGTTAATTAATTAACATTTTAATATTATGTGGTGGATTGCAATAATCACTAATCTTAATGCAAAAGTGATGTGGAATAATATGTGGAGATGCTCAACTCGTGAGTACAACAAAAAAAGGACAATTATATATGGGGGGGGGGATGGTATCAAAACAAACCCTTCAACAAATTTAATAGACACATATACATGTATATATATATATATATATATCCCACATATGCATGCATGCATGCATGCATGTATTCTCAGCCTATATATGAGTCCAAAAATGCATAACCCATCTTTTTCGACCATACATGAGATGATTATTAAACATTGACTATCACATCCATCTCTTTTTTTCACTCTAAACAAAGAATAATAATTAGTTATTTTTATTTTTACAAAAAGCGAAGGAGTGGGGGACATTTTCCTTGTAACATATCAGCAGCGAGAGACGTCCAAATGGAAAGGTGTATGTGAGGATAAGCCCTATAAATACATGCCCTTGGCCTCCATGTTATGTGTCTCAAACATCACACAATCTCTCTCTCTCTCTCTCTCTCTAGATTGAAGATGGAGAACATGGGGGGGAGTCGGGCGATAGAGCCACTGATAGTGGGGAGAGTGATAGGAGATGTTCTCGATTTCTTCACACCGTCGATAAAGATGACTGTGAGTTACAGCAAGAAGCAGGTCTGCAATGGCCACGAGCTCCTCCCTTCCTCTCTCTCCTCCGCCCCTAGGGTTCATATCCATGGAGCTGATCTCAGATCCTTCTTCACTCTGGTATATACATACATACATACATACGTGCACTTTTATGTATACAGATATAATATTAATGTGTCATATATATGTATCATTATAACATTATAAAGTTTCCATTAATTGCTTTTGCTTTATATATTGGTGAAATATATAGTTTTTTTTTAAATATATATTTAGTTTGTATTTTGATATATAAATTAATAAATCACAACAGGTGATGGTAGACCCAGATGTTCCAGGTCCTAGTGATCCCTATCTGAGGGAGCACCTGCATTGGTACGTCCTGTTTCAGTGCTCTTTGGTCCAAATGATTTGCATTTTCACCCCCAAACCCTAATTCTTCACATAATTTTATAATCTCATTTTTCACACACATATATATATATACATATATACATAATATTCACCTGTCTACCGAAATTATATACGGACGCTTCGTGTATATATGTATGAGACCTACATTATCAAGATTTTGTAAACTACAGATATAAAATGTACGAGGTGATGTTTAAACATAAATGGCACCTCCTTAAATTATTTCATACCAACCGTCCAAAATTATTCGTGGACACTAAGATTCGGGCATATGTTCCACTCTATATATAGCAATATCATCTTTTGTCCTCTGACTAATTAACTCGCTTAGCCATTTTATACATTGGGAATATATATATATATATATATATACATATATATATATATACATCCCATATAATAATAATAAAAAAACATTGGTGTATATGTGAGCATATCTATAATATTTATCCATACATCCAAATATATACGTATGAGATTATAGAAACTTATTAATTACTCTTCCCCCAACAGGATCGTCACTAACATCCCCGGCACAACAGATGCTACATTTGGTAAGACTCATTTCTTGGCCATATATATACACACACATGACACATATATGTATGTGCGTGTGTATACATATATACATACAAAATTAAATTTAATCAAATGTGTGTGTGTGTATATAGGGAAAGAGGTGGTGAGCTATGAAGTGCCTCGACCAAGCATAGGGATACACAGGTATGTGTTCGTGCTGTTCAAGCAGAGACAGAGGCATGTCGTAACCAGCACTACTAACTCCGTGCCCTCGAGGGATCACTTCAACACCCGTAGATTTGTGGCCGAACATGATCTCGGCCTCCCTGTCGCGGCCGTCTACTTCAATGCTCAGCGCGAAACCGCCGCTAGGAGACGCTAACTGTCTGAAAATATCGACGGAATTATCCATATATGAGAGTCGTTAATCGATGTTATCTAATTATCAAGCAACTATTCGAATAAAGATTGACAAACGATCGATTAATGTAATCCGGTTCTTGATTCTAGAGACGAAAAATTAACGTGCAGGAAATGTGGGACGACGTTGTGTAATCATAAAACTTGATCAATTTGCTTCAATCCTATGATTAAATTAGTTATACTGAAACGTTATACGATCACATAAACCTGTTCTTATATGAGATGCCGCTGTTTCAGTGTGTGTGTGTGTGAAAGAATAATTCGATTTTTTTTATAACAAGAAAAGATTGCTCAACATGATGTCAACTTGTCGAAGTGTTTTCCAATTTCAAATTTCCCATTTCAAATTTTATATATTAATAAGTTGTGGTGGAGTCCCAATCTTCGTAACAACTTGTGAAAAAACGGTCCATCATGGGTCAAGAAGACACTTATTTATGTTCTTAAGATTAGGGGTCATATTATTAGGGTTTTGTGTTTGCGTGTGAGACATATATAATCATTTTTTTAAAAAAAAAAGCATAAATACAAAAACTTCATCTTGTTAATATTATTCGTCGTAGACGAAAGAACAATTCCGATACTGTATAATCGGTTTAATTTGGTTTGGCTTGAATAGATTTTGATCCGGATTATTTTAGTCCGGATTTTTTAGTGAAGGGTTTGTTTTTTTTTTTCCCCTTTTTCTTCGATTATATTTAAGAACAAGTTCTTTTTTCAATTTATAACAATATTCCAATATTTCTAATGAATTTTTCTCTACTCTCAATAGAATTAGTCCGAATTTTTTTTTTCTTTTCTCTTAAAACGGAATAGATGGTTTCAAAGAGTTCTTCTGCGTTCAACAACGTTAGAATTATAAAATCACCACAAAAAATGGAAGATTATTTTTTCTAAGAGTAGAGGTTTCTTTTTTGTGACAATAACAAATGGTTATTGGGTAATTAGTAATTAAGAGGAGTTACATGTTACTCTCGTTCTTGTTTTAACCCCAAAATAAAATAAACTCCCAGAAGCCATTTTGGGATTTTTGAAATATTGTTTTTAAAACGTCATGATGAAGGAAAGCTATGAGAGGCACACGTGTCGTTAAACAATTGGTTATTGTCTGCTGCGTTTTCGCGTGAGATGTCGATCTTATCTTCATCTGTGACTGTGAGTGATACCCAACTTGCACATTAGCAATAAATAAAATAAATTCAGTTGATTTTAAACTGTTTCTTTCGGTAGAAATTCACTTGGACAATAAAAACCCATGAATATGTGTTTTTACCATCACATAAATATCTTTTTTGTTGTTGCTAGTATTATCCTCAACATGCGTGTGGTAAAAAACACGAGGACTCACTGTGGTAGAAAAAAAAGAAGATAAGATATTGTTACCCTATGAAGGAGGGTAGGGGTGTTAGGTAATATCAATGGTTCAATACTAAATCAAGGGCATGCAAAGACTTTAGGATTTGCCTGAAAAAGACACTGAACTAAAAAAATGTAGAGTTTTAGGGTTTTCAGGGGGAAGAAGACGAAGGCATACAGAGATCTGCATTGTGTTTAGCCAATTATGGATATTTTTCATAGGCAAATCTTTTTCCAATATGTATACATATATATATACTTACATATATATATATACTGATACTTATTGCAGACATATTTTCTTGCCCCCTACTTATTACTATCACAGGACGACACCTGTTCTGCCAACTTGTAACATTTTTCAGAGTTGGCATGCATATATATATATATATATAATATGTATATATACATATATAAGCACATGGAAAATAGCAAAGTGCGTTGTGTATTTTTTTTTTTTTTTTTTTTTGTAAGATGCGTATATCGGAGAAGATTTAATTTAAATATTCGTCAAGATATTGTAACAGCAGCAACAGAGGCACTAGCTAGTTTTTGCCTTCTACTTGTCTTAGCATTCTTACGTGTCTGTATATATATATATATATATATATGTATACACACGTAAGGGTAATAAGATATATGAACTCATTGAAAAATAAATACATAACCTCTATGATTAGCTACTAATCTTATTTTCATGCAAGAATGAATTGTGTATGTAAAAAAAAAATTGTATATAATTTTGTTGAAACCAAATTAATCAAACATAAGTCAAATATAAAAATAATTGAAAGCATGAAAATATTTTTTTAAAATACAAATGTTTTTAATATATAACAATTTAGGTGGATAATAATCCTTTTGTAAATTCGTCCACACATTTGGTTAGTCTAAAGCTGCACAACTTTATTCGTTTCTAACCATCTATCTATCTATCTGGTTTTGTATGTATGCGTGTGTCCGTGTTATCACATCATTCAAATCAAGATGTGTATGGATGGGGAAATTTCAAAATAATTATGAAATAATTAATTAATATTCAATTTGTGTGCATTGATGAAATCGAAAAGCATATGATAAACCGACAGTATATAGTCTTAGCCAACATGCATTGAATTAGTCTGTACATGTAATAACCGTACGTTTAAAAGACCGACCAGTTATATAATAGTCACAACCCTTTGGACCATATATATATATATATATATCCACTGTCATTCGTCTTTCACGTAGAGGATTGTTTTTTTGAAAAGGCTCCAAAGCGAATGTCTGTCTCTTCAAGTTCATTAATTACATCTTGTTATTGTTATTATATTACTTTTTTTTTATTAATTATGACCTGAGATTTTATTATTATTTTTCGCTTTGTCATGTATATGTATGAGCTGTCTAATTTTGATTGGGTGATATATGCATATCACGAGTCAATGCATGCAAATGCAAGGTCATTTTAAGATTGTACACGGGCATGCGGAAGTTGTGTTGTATAAGATTATGCATATGTTGGACACTAATTACATATATTCAGGGGCATATATATATATTTGGATACATTGAGAAATTTATTTAATATATGTCGTGTATTAATGTAATGTACTAATTGGAAAATTATGCAGAAGAAAAGAGAAGAGCAACCCCATCTTATTATTGTTATTATTATTTTTAATAAGTAGGAGATTCATTATGTCTTTAATCCACTTAATCCTTCTTAAATATAAATTCAGCATTTAGTCACGCAATTAATTGTATCTCTTTTCTCCACTAATGGAATCGAACCTATAATTTTGAAGTGATTTTGTCATATGTTAGATCATCCGATTATTATTATTATTATTATTAAAAAACATGAAAGCAAGTGTTGATGCTTTTGTACCCAAAGAAAAGCTGCTTCTATGGTGCGTTGTATATAATGTGTTTTTTTTGTCTTTTTCTTTTTTGATATTTGATTCAACGGCCAATAGAAACTCCTAGAGACTTAGAGAGAAGTCCAATGTCCTCTTTGTTTGTCCGAACAGAGAGATGAGAAGCATCTTACTTCTCTGACCATTGGTTTCTGAATTATTTGACTTCCACTTGACCCCATGTAGCGGTTGCAGTTGCGAGTGACGACGTTTTCAGAACGTTTGATAGCGATTATGAATGATAAGTACTGACTGGTTGATAAATTGCTGTTGGCAACGATTGCGAGTAGATGCGGTTAGAAGTGAATGGTCGTTGCGGTTGTGGTTGCGTTTTGATATAAATTATAAAAAAATATTATTTTAAAATAATTTTTTATAATAATTTTAATTAAATTTTTAGTATCATTTGATAAAAATTCTTTACTAAATTTATAATAATTAAATAATAAATTTAAAAAGTTTTGAATATTGACATTTTTGTCATCTAATATGCTAAATAACTTAGCTATATAATACTACCCATATATATATATATATTGAGTTTTTTTTTTGTATAACAGATAAATAGGTTGAAATCTAGAAAATGAAATGTTGTAATCTTTTCTGTGGACGGACCAAGTCACTTGAAAGCCCATGAAGCATACGATGGACCAAAGCCTTAGTTTTCCCACCAACGGGGAACAGTCCACACAAAAAATGTGTGTGTGTGTGTATATATTAGATTTTCTTCAACCTCTACTCGGACAGAAAAAAAAAACACATCTGAGATTTGTCTTTGTGCTGCAGAGTTTAAATGAGATTATAAGTTTTCCTAACATGAAAATTCTCTCATTCTTTCTCACACAGTTCTGCAAACAGATCAAACGCCTGGGAATTCGCATCGAGAATTTGGTGGAATCGATAGCCATCGACCAGTTTCATCTAATCTTTAGCCGCTGAACGTTTACGGTTCATCGTCGACGAAAGACTTCAACTTTCGTCTGAACTCCGGGATCTTGTCTGCCTCCACCGCCATCAACAAACCCGTCAACTTGTAATTTCTCAGCTGCAAGAATCATCGTTGAAACAGCAGAAACGGAAAAACCCGGTTTGATTTTGTGTTCCGATGGATCGAAGAAATCGAAAGAATCCTAAGAATACCAGAGAGATTACTTGCCTCTTGAGAAGTAACAAGCTGGGTGCGCAATGGAAACGTGAAGGACCACGAGCTTAGCTGAGATGGATTTATTCAAACGTGTTAAGAAGAAACAGCAAGGGAAAAAAAAAGGATCATAGAGGCAGTTGTTGCAGTGAGAAGATCGGTACCTCGAGAAAGATTTCGTCTTCTGGCTTAAGGAATATTGTTTCCTCGTCTTCTTCACCTCGAGCCCTTTTCCTCTTATCGCCATTTTTCAACTACAACCAGAATCAGCATATCGCATTCTGTTAATACAAGTGAGCAGATTCAAGAAATGGAAAATTGTCTCGAGAAAACAAAAACTATACCTTGTAAAATTTGGTCAATATAAGATATGACTTGAGGCAGAAGGATTTCCGGAGCTCTTCCGCTGGCTTCAAACGGAACAAGCAAG